CCCGGACACCCAGTCCTGCACTCAGTTCCCCACCCGCAGAGCCCCTGGGGTCCGGAGGGGGCCACAGCCCGAGCCCATGCCTGGGAAGGGCTCCCGTGAAGGAGGAGACAAGGCAGTGCTGCTGTTTGGGCATCCACATTTATTACATGGCTGGGGCAAGCCTGGGCCCCGGCAAGCCTGGGCCCCTTCCAGCCGAGGGCAAACGACCCGTCCTCCTTAAATATTGGCTATAAAACAAATTTCTTTTTTTCCTTTTTCTTTTTCTTAAAAACCCCATCTCTCTCCTTCTCTCCCCATACTTTTTTGTCTTTTGTATTTGATTATAAAAGTGGGGGCGGGCGCTCCGCCTCGCCTGCCGCTACCTCCGCAGGCTGCGCTGGGCCTGCCGCAGTCGAACTTGCTCTTGACAGGGGCCGGGTCGAAATCCTCCCGGTTTGAGTCTGGAAGACATGGGAAGAGGCTGCCTTGAGCCACGGGGACACCGGCAGAGTCCTGGCCATCCCTGCAGCACCTGCTTCCCATGCCAACATCCAGACCTTGAGCTGAGCTGACGGAGGATGGGACCCGGCCTCCACCGCAGCGCCAGAGGGGCGAGAGCCCCCATCCCACCAGCCCTCAGGCAGGACTATCCCTGAACGTGGCCCTTCCCAGCCCTGACTAACCCCAAGGATGGGGTCTCCCCGTCTATGAGAAGGACAGTGGATCCAGGTTTCCCCCCTCCCCAGCCCGGGGGCTGCACAACTCACCCAAGTCGGCATAGTTCCTCCTGCAGAACTGCCGGCGGCCGCCGGAGCACAAGGCGCAGGGCTAGGTCGAAGGGCTGCTCGTCCGGGCGCCGCAGCTTGTGCCCGCTCTCGATGGCGGCAAAGGCTTCCTCGGCATAGCGGTAGGTGACAAAGCCGTAGTTGTCCCTGGAGACAGAGAAGGAAGGAGATCAGCGGCAACGCAGCACGTTCATCCCCACCTTGGTCTGCACCGTCCCCTTGAGGAATGGGAAAAGAGGTGCCATCCCCAGGAAGAGGCTGCCCCCATCCCTGCAGCTCTTACCCCTCGGAGCGGAAGTGCAGGGTGCACTCCTCGATGTCCCCGAACACCGAGAAGCGGTGCCGCAGCTCTGACCGCGTCATCCTGCTGGGGATCTTGCCGATAAACACAACACGCCGCTCCTCCTGCGGGCAGGGGAGATGGGAATGGTCCGAGTCCTCCCGGTGAGCCGAACCTCTCGCACAGAGCACCCTCCCCGCATCCCCACCCGTCCCACCGTGCCCTGGCCAGGGCGCCCAGCAGTGCTGCCTGCGAGGCTGTGACCCCACACCCCCCTTCCCGATGGAGCCCCCGATGCCCGGCCTCAAAGCACTCACTATTGCACGTTCCTTCTGGAGGATCCTCTGCCTTTGGTAGTGGTCCTGCGCGTCGTAACTGTATCTGGGAGGGCGGAAACCAGAGACGTGAGCTACAGGGTCAGGGGGGTGCATGAGCGATCCCAGACATGAGGGAGATTCTTAAGGAGTGGCTAACCCCTGCCCAGGACACAGGAGGCCAGGAGAGGGGTCCGGGAAGGTCACACCTACGCAGGGAGGCCACGCTCACCTTCTCCGCCTGTTACTCCTCCTGCGAGGCGAGGGGGAGCGGGACTGGCTGCGGGACGTGGACCTGGATGAGTAGGAGGATGTTGATGAAGAGGATGAGGACCTGTCCCGGGATCTGCCATATGACCCACAGCTGGAGCGGGAGGAGGAGCTGTGGGAACATCTTGAGCGGTACCTGGGGAGAGGAGAGACAGCTCAGTGCTGAGCCTTCCCCATGCCGGGCACCATAAGGCTCCAGAGAAGACAGAGAACTCCATCCTGCCCGAGGCACCGAGCATCCCACCCAGGCAGGACCCATCCCCAGGGTGAGCTGGGCTGTGGAAACCCCGGCCCCAGTTCACCGGGGCAGTAATGACACCACAGAGACGTTGTTCCACTTGGCTCCGAACACCGCAGCAAGAGGGGAGCAGGCTCGCACCACGCACAGCAACAACAGCCACAGGTGAACCGTGCAGCACCTGGCTGCAGCCAGGCAAGGACCCAAGGGGGGCTGGGGCGGCCACGCTGAGCCCCACAGGGCGCACAGATGTCACCGGAACCATCACATCCACGCTGCGCCCGACAGCCACGCAGAGACCGCACTTGCCTCTGACCACGCCGAGGGCCACGGCATGTGCTGGGACAGAGCTGGGCTCCATGCCCACAGCCTCCTGCCCACAAGAGCTTCTCTAAGGCAAAGCTCCAGGGCAGCAGGACTGAAATCCTCTGGGATATCAAGCTGTGCTGCCTCCAGCCAGCAACGGGGACCCTCCCTGAACACGCTGCCCACTCCACAGGCAAACCCTGGCCCCAAGTGGCACGTGCTGCCCATTACTGCCACACTCTCCGGGGGACAGCAGGTCAGGATGGCAATCCACAGGTATGTTTCCCAGCACAGGCCCAGCTGTATTTGCTGGAAAGCCAAGCCAGGCAAGGCAAGTCCCTGGGCTGCACATCCCTGGGACACGGCACTGTACGTGCCCTTCCCAGCTTCAGCCTCCACACCTATTGGCCACTGACGAGGGGCCTTGGCTGGACAAGCCCTTCGTGCCTGGTGACACCAGATGTCTCCAAAACCCGCTGACCACCCAGGGAAGGGCAGATGAGGGAATCCCTCAGCTGCTCCAGTGCCTCCCCACCTCAGCTGGGACACGCTAGGCATCACTCAGATGCACAAAGACTCACCCCACTTTCCCATGCAGCCACCCCCGCAGGGAGCGCGGGGAAGCCCGGTGGCAGCCAAGCCAGAGGGGTTTTTCTCTGCCTGCCTCCAGCAGCTCCCTGCTGCCACTGCAGCTCCTCTCATTCCTATACCTGGGGCTGCGCCAGCCCCGCAGCACCAACACCCGCACTAATATCCCAGAAAAATCATCTGAAAGCCAAGGTGGAGCCGAGAACTCATACCATGGTGCCCTAGGAGGAAGGAAGCCTGACTCAGCAGTGGTTTTGCAGACACACCTGCCCAGATGTGGGGTTCAGTCAGGCACCCACTACCCTGGCGGGGTGTCACAGCAGCTGCTCCAGATTCTGCCCGCCAGACACCCCTTCACAAGGACAGAAACATGGGACACAGGCATCAGGCAGGTCCATAAAGAGGTGTCTGAGCACCCTAAAGACCAGCCCAGCAGGCAACTGCCCGAGAGCAAGCAGACAGATGCTCCACCGCTTACCTTCGCCACCGCTTGGGCGGTGGGGAGAACGACCGTGAGCGGGATCGGGAGGACGAGGACGAAGATGAAGAGGAGGACTCACTAGCTCCATCCGAACTGGAG